CCCTCCCTCCAACACTGGCACATAAGTTCATGAAGCTCAGTTTTAAGTGTTCCTCGGATGCACTTGAAACTTATGGCGGATTGCCATCTTCTTCTGAGACGTTCCCTGAGGAAAGTGAATCCAGTGGTTTCTCAACTTCTTCTACCGTCGGTTCAAGGTCAAGTTCTTCCATAGTGGGCAGCAGTTGATTGCATCCAAAGCCTCTATGCTGACCAAGTTCTCTCTGGAGTAGAGTTCGGAGTAATATTCCACCCAGCGATTCATCTGTTGATCATTGTCTTTAATGATCTCTCCAGTGGCTGACTTCAGAGGAGCTGCCCTGTTTTGTGTAGAGCCTGTTGCCTGTTTGATCCCTTCGTACATGCTTCTTATATTGCCGATGGTGGCCGCGGTCTGCATGCTGGAACAGAGTCGGAGTAAGTAAGCGTTAGCACAGCGCCTTGTAGGTTGTTGCTCCTTACTGCGGGCAGAACGGAGGCTCTGTAGGTTCCTTTCTGAGGGCAGGTTATTGTAAGCTGAGAGAGTTCGTCTCTTTTTTCCTCTACGAAGGATAACAGTTCCTCTGCACTGGCCTCGAAACAGGTCTGCTGACTTGTTCTGCCTCTTACCGAAGGTGGACATGGCAGTGTTGAAAATAGTGCCCCTGAGGTGTGACCACCTCTCACTTGCGCTATCGCAGGGTGGTACATGAAGGGCATTTACCAACGCAGCAATGAATTCCTCCACCTTGTGAAGGTCATGGGTCTTGTTTACATTAATGTGTGGTCTTCCCTCCTTCTTTGCTCTGTAAATTTTTCGGGGTTGGAACTTTACAAACGACGAGGGAGTGGTAAGTGTCACAATCTGCGCTCTGGAAGCTGTGGGTCAGTTTGACGCTTCTCAGATTGCTACGCCCTGAAAGCACCAGGTCGAGTTGGTGCCAATGCTTAGAACTGGGATGTTTCCAGGAAACCTTGCGCTGGGGCTTGGTGTCGAAGAAGGAATTGGTGACGCAGAGATCGTGATGACAGCAGAACTCCAGGAGGCGCTGCCCATTCTCATTCATCTTCCCAAATCCAAACTGGCCCGGGCAGGAAGGCCAAGAGATGTGATCGGAACCAATTCTTGCGTTGAAATCTCCCAGAAGGAAGACTGCCTCTTGTTTAGGTATGTCTATGAGAGCTGGCTGAGGTCATCATAGAACTCGTCCTACTCTTTGGTAGAGAAAAGTGTTGGTGTGTAGGCGTTGATGAAGCTGACCAATCCTGCTGCTGTGTGAAGCAGAAGTTTGATTGGTCCTTGCAGACACCTCCATGGGCGGTACCATAGACATTACAATACGGGGGTGCGGTTACGCCGTCAGGGGGCGAGGGTGTCGTGTCTAACGACGATAACCAGTCTGGTAGTGATAGTGACCAGTCCGGTGTACCCGAGATTGTTGAAGAGAGGACCTACATATGGGAACGGGTTGCGCCGCAAGAGCCCATCCGTTATTTGGGTTTCTAGTGCGCATACTTCGTGTCCAAGGTTCCAGATGTTATGGGGCACCCTCGTGAACCTGCTCTTTGTCATATGAGGATTATTTGGGAGGCGTACTGTCTCCGGTTTCTGGTTGCAGAATTTCTGAATAAATATAAGTATGTGAAGGCGTGGTGTTCTTGCTTTCGCCTCCCGTTGTTGTGCTTGTTGGGGGCCCGTCGGGTCTGTGGTTATGTGCATTAGTTTTTCTTCAGTGTTTTTGTACTTGTCTGTGGTTTACATGTAATTTTCTGTATCTTTTGTGTACGTTCATGTTTCATGTATCTCATTTTGGTGTTGTATTTGTATGTTACTGTTTGTGGATCCGTGTTGGACTGGTCTGTGTCATGTGCTGTGTTTGAGTTTTGTTTCGTGTTTTTCGCCCGTTTCCTGTTTTGTGTCATTATGTGCCTTTGTGTTTGGGCGTTTGGTTGCAGGCCCTTCAGACCTGTAGTTTTGTACCCTATTTTTGGGGTTGAATTGTGCTTCTGTGTTTTATGTATTTTCTTTTGGGTTTATGTATTTTCTTTTGGGTTTGCGATTGTCCTATGTACTGTTATATGATATGTGATACGTGTTTATGTGTCTTGTTGTATGCCATTCAGCCATGTGGTTTTGTACCCTTGTTTTGGGGTTGAACTGTGCTTCTGTGTTTTATGTATTTTCTTTTGGGTTTGTGTCTGTACTATGTAATCTAATAGGATATGTGATACGTGTTTGTGTCTTGTTGTACACCCTTATGGCCTGTGGTTTTGTACTTATGCCTTATCTTGAGAGGTTATCTTGAGATGATTTCGGGGCTTTTTAGTGTTTCCGCGGCCCCGGTCCTCGACCAGGCCTCCACCCCCAGGAAGCAGCCCGTGACAGCTGACAAACACCCAGGTACCTATTTTACTGCTAGGTAACAGTTTTCTTTTCTGTTTTGTCTTTTCTATGTTTCTTTTATTGTACTTATTCGCATGCTCTGCATGTAAATATATACAAAGAGAGTCACCATAGACATTACAGCACTACAATCACATCAACGATCATCACCCCGATACAAGAGAACAATCAAAGCCACAACCACCACCACCACCACCCCCACCACCACCATCACCACCATCACCACCATCACCACCACCACCACCATCACCACCATCACCACCATCACCACCACCACCACCACCACCACCACAACCACCACCACCACCACCACAACCACCACCACCATCACCACCACCACCACCACCACCACCACAACCATCACCACCATCACCACCACAACCACCACCACCATCACCATCACCACCACCACCACCACCATCACCACCATCACCACCACCACCACCACAACCACCACCACCACAACCACCACCACAATCACCACCACAGGCACCCCAACAACACCAGGGACGCTCTCCTCCTGGGGGAGGGGGGGGGGTGGGGGGGTTGGGGGTTATAGTAACTTTCCTTAGACAGGGTCAATTAATTCCCTCGTGGCTATGTCATGACTGTATAATATTTTAGTAGAATAAAGGAGAATTGTCTCTGCTGGCCGCTGTCTGTCGACTCGCGGCGTCTTCTGCTCAGCCCAACTACTTAACCACCATGGTTGGAGGTTGTTTGTTGGGTCTGACGCTCTCTCAGCTGAGACGTTGTTTAAGAAAATGTTTAAGAAAATAATACATATATATATATATATAATACATATAATAATATATATAATAATACATATATATACCGCGTAACGTGGTGGAGGTGGGGTCCCTAGATTGTTTCAAGCGCGGGTTGGACAAGTATATGAGTGGGATTGGGTGGTTATAAATAGGAGCTGCCTCGTATGGGCCAATAGGCCTTCTGCAGATGCCTTTGTTCTTATGTTCTTATATATATTTTTTTATAATCTAGATCTTTCTACATGTTTAATACCTGTTCATTGGCCAATCTGTTGATTAGCTAATCTTTTTATTGTCCAATCTTTTTATTCCCAGTTTTTTTTATTGCCTAAAGTGTTTAGTTACCAATATATTTAGTTTTAAATGTGTTTAGTTACCAATCGATGTGACTATCTGGCCAGACTATCTGCCTATCAGGCTCTCCTGCAGTTTCATCTAATCTTTCGCACAATTCTCTCATTTGCTCATTTCTCTTCCAATTCTCTCATTTACTCACTTCTCTTCCAATTCTCTCATTTACTCCTCTTCCAATTCTCTCTTCCTCGTCCCTCCCCCAGTTCTCCATCTTTCAACCTCTCTCTTTATAGGTTTCCAATCTCATCACGAGAGAGGAGAAAAACAAGGCAACCATCCAAGAATTGTCCTCTTGCAGATTTTATCACGGCTCTATCAACGAAGGAAGAGAAAAGAAAAGAGGAAGAAGTAGAACAGAAGAAGAGGAAGACAGAAGAAAGAATTAAAGAAGAAAAAGGAGCAAAGAAGAAGAAGAAAAAGGAGAAAATAATAAGAAAAGGAAGAGGAAGAAAAGAGAAGGACGAAGATAGAAAAAAGAAAGCAGAACAAGAAGAAAATAGCTATAAGAAGAGGAAGAAAAACGAAAAATAAAAAACGAAGAAAAGAAGAACGAGAAAAAATCAGTAATGTAGGAAAAAAAAACTAAAATCAAAGTCATTTTCCCGAAAAATAAATATGGCTGTGTCGCTGGGGAGTCACGGGGAGGGGGAAGGTTAGGGGAAGGGGGATAAAGGTAAGGGGAAGGGGAGGGTTGAAGGGTAAAGGGGAGAAGTTGGTTGGTTGGTTGGTAGATAAGAACTGTGTTGGACAGTTAAGAAAATTAAAAATAAACAATGGAAAAACTTGCGAAAGCTAACTTGAGGTTATACTCACCGGAGGCGGACTGCCGTGGGCGGAGCAGGGCAGGAGGGCGCCAGTGGTGTTGGAGAAGTGTAGGCGTGATGGGGGTTCGTGAAGGAAGACCGGGCCTCTCCCCTCCTCCACGGACACGCCAGCCCACACCACGCCTCCTCCAGTAGCCAGCAGCAGCACCGTCAGCACACCTGCAGGAGCACCATCAGAGTTACCTTGTGAAGCATGTGGGGCGGGGCGTGTGTTATCTTGATAAGGTAAGGGGGGGGGAGGGTTAGGGGTGGGAGATTGGAGAGGGGTAGGGGAAAATGGAAGTCTCATAGGGAATGAACAGAATGGAAACGGGAGGAAGAGAATAGAAATGGGACAAGGAGATTATAAAGAGAAAGGACGCTCGGAATGCGAAAGCAGAAAGAGAGAGAGAGAGAGAGAGAGAGAGAGAGAGAGAGAGAGAGAGAGAGAGAGAGAGAGAGAGAGAGAGAGAGAGAGAGAAAGAGAGAGATGAGAAAGTCTAAATCATTTATGTATATGCTAAACAACGGAGGCCGCAGGAGAGAGCCTTGAGGCACTTCACTTAAAGCGGTTTCCCACTCTGACTTAACCCCCATTTAAAATAACTATTTATTTTCCATAGACATAGCTATACCCTTATCCAGCTTACGACAGCACACTCAATACCGTGAGCATCAGTCTTTTTAATCAGTCTTGCATGCGGCACTGTATCAGAAGCTTTGCTAAAGTCAAGGAACACAACGTCCAAATTTTTCCACTATCAACTGCTTCAATTATGCTGAAATAGAATGACAGGAAGTTCGTCAAACATTAGAGGGCCTTAATAGAACCATGTTGGAAATCATCAATTAATCCCTGTTTTTCAAGTTGTAAACGAATGGCTATTGCGGTTATCGAGTCAAGCAACTTTCCCACAATAGATGTTAAGTTAATTGGCCAGTTGTTCGATGCAAGTGATCTAATCTATCTCCTTTCTTAAACATTCGTCTATAACATTAACCATTGTACCTGACTAATGGTTTATTGAATATGCTAGACAAGGGGCTCATAAAGCCCTTTGCATTCTATAAGACCCCAGACAAAGGCTCTGGGGTGGTGTTTGGATTTGATATTTCAGTGTGTTTAAGAATCTCCTCCCTGGTGACTTCTAAGATAGTCAACCATCGCAATAAACTTAATTACACCTGTCAGAATATAACCACCAGTATAACTACCACCCCAGCCACCAGGATAACTACCACCCCAGCCACCAGTATAACTACCACCCCAGCCACCAGGATAACTACCACCCCAGCCACCAGGATAACTACCACCCCAGCCACCAGGATAACCACCACCCCAGCCACCAGGATAACTACCACCCCAGCCACCAGGATAACTACCACCCCAGCCACCAGGATAACTACCACCCCAGCCACCAGGATAACCACCACCCCACCCATCAGGATAACTACCACCCCAGCCACCAGGATAACTACCACCCCAGCCACCAGGATAACTACTACCCCAGCCACCAGGATAACTACCACCCCAGCCACCATGATCACCACCACCAAAACCACCAGGATTACTACCACCCCAGCCACCAGGATAACTACCACCCCAGTCACCAGGATAACTACCACCCCAGCCACCAGGATAACTACCACCCCAGCCACCAGGATAACTACCACCCCAGCCACCAGGATAACTACCACCCCAGCCACCAGGATAATTACCACCCCAGCCACCAGGATAACTACCACCCCAGCCACCAGGATAACTACCACCCCAGCCACCAGGATAACTACCACCCCAGCCACCAGCATAACTACCACCCCAGCCACCAGGATAACTACCACCCCAGCCACTAGGATAACTACCACCCCAGCCACTAGGATGACATCCTAGCCCTAACCTACGTATATCACCATCGTCCAGCACAGCTCAGTATACGTTTATAGTCTTAACCTAACGAGCAACCATCCCCCATCCTTCCCTGTGGTCGCGAATCCTGAATGGGGGGGGGAGGGGGTGCTCGGTCTCCCTGATTGGATCCGGGGATTGGGTTCGCTGCGCTCAGGGATTTGCATTAATTCCCAGTAAATTTTGAAACGAAGTAATGGTTGGTAAATACCAGAGGATCTTAATTGGCAACGAAGGCGGACGGAGGATCTCGTTAGCTATTGGTATAGATGTATATTGGCTTCTGTTGGGTGCCTCTTGCTTCCTCTCCTGTTGGCTGCCACCTGCTTCCTCCTCCTGTTGGCTGCCACCTGCTTCCTCCTCCTGTTGGCTGCCTCTTGCTTCCTCCTCCTGTTGGCTGCCACCTGCTTCCTCTTCTGTTGGCTGCCTCCTGCTTCCTCCTCCTGTTGGCTGCCTCCTGCTTCCTCCTCCTGTTGGCTGCCTCCTGCTTCCTCCTCCTGTTGGCTGCCTCTTGCTTCCTCCTCCTGTTGGCTGCCTCTTGCTTCCTCCTCTGTTGGCTGCCTCTTGCTTCCTCCTCCTGTTGGCTGCCTCTTGCTTCCTCCTCTGTTGGCTGCCACCTGCTTCCTCTTCTGTTGGCTGCCTCCTGCTTCCTCCTCCTGTTGGCTGCCTCCTGCTTCCTCCTCCTGTTGGCTGCCTCTTGCTTCCTCCTCCTGTTGGCTGCCTCTTGCTTCCTCCTCTGTTGGCTGCCACCTGCTTCCTCTTCTGTTGGCTGCCTCCTGCTTCCTCCTCTGTTGGCTGCCACCTGCTTCCTCCTCTGTTGGCTGCCTCCTGCTTCCTTCTCCTGTTGGCTGCCACCTGCTTCCTCCTCTGTTGGCTGCCACCTGCTTCCTCTTCTGTTGGCTGCCTCCTGCTTCCTCCTCTGTTGGCTGCCACCTGCTTCCTCCTCCTGTTGGCTGCCTCTTGCTTCCTCCTCTGTTGGCTGCCTCCTGCTTCCTCCTCCTGTTGGCTGCCACCTGCTTCCTCCTCCTGTTGGCTGCCTCCTGCTTCCTCCTCCTGTTGGCTGCCTCCTGCTTCCTCCTCCTGTTGGCTGCCACCTGCTTCCTCCTCTGTTGGCTGCCTCCTGCTTCCTCTCCTGTTGGCTGCCTCCTGCTTCCTCCTCCTGTTGGCTGCCTCTTGCTTCCTCCTCCTGTTGGCTGCCTCTTGCTTTCTTTTCTGTTGGCTGCCTCCTGCTTCCTTTTCTGTTGGCTGCCTCTTGCTTCCTTTTCTGTTGGCTGACTCCTGCTTCCTTTTCTGTTGGCTGCCTCCTGCTTCCTTTTCTGTTGGCTGCCTCCTGCTCCCTCCTCTGTTGGCTGCCTCTTGCTTCCTCCTCCTGTTGGCTGCCTCTTGCTTTCTTTTCTGTTGGCTGCCTCCTGCTTCCTTTTCTGTTGGCTGCCTCTTGCTTCCTTTTCTGTTGGCTGCCTCCTGCTTCCTTTTCTGTTGGCTGCCTCCTGCTTCCTCCTCCTGTTGGCTGCCTCTTGCTTTCTTTTCTGTTGGCTGCCTCCTGCTTCCTTTTCTGTTGGCTGCCTCCTGCTTCCTTTTCTGTTGGCTGCCTCTTGCTTCCTTTTCTGTTGGCTGCCTCCTGCTTCCTCCTCCTGTTGGCTGACTCCTGCTTCCTCCTCTGTTGGCTGCCTCCTGCTTCCTCTCCTGTTGGCTGCCTCCTGCTTCCTTTTCTGTTGGCTGCCTCCTGCTTCCTTTTCTGTTGGCTGACTCCTGCTCCCTCCTCTGTTGGCTGCCTCCTGCCTCCTCTGTTGGCTGCCTCCTGCTCCCTCCTCTGTTGGCTGCCTCCTGCTTTCACATTACAAAAGTTTTTCCAGCAATATTAAAATGCTGTTTCGGCTGAAGAGGAGATACCTTACCTTGAGGTGCTTCCGGGGCTTAGCGTCCCCGCGGCCCGGTCGTCGACCAGGCCTCCTGATATGGAACAAGCAAGGAGATAACCGCTGATAGTCTGACTCGCGTCTAAGAAAAAAGGGTCACCAATGACGATTCGCCACGTTTAAGTTAAGAAAAGACGCAACCAATAGCCACGCTATAAGCGAGGTTAAGAGGTAAGCAATGGCGTTCCACCACGTGCCTCTGGGATAGATGATGTTGTTGTTATAGATTAAGCTACTCGGAACAAGTTCCAAGTAGCACGGGCTATGGTGAGCCCGTCTGGGATAGAGGTTAACCAATAATAATCTACCACGTATATCAGGGGTACAGGAGAGGAGTGAAACAGCATAGGAGCGGCCTAGGTTCATCCAGGATAAATTATGAGGCAAGATATCAAAAATAACTATCAAGATAACACAGACTATCAAAATAACAACGTACTGGAGTGAACGATATAGAAGACAATGCAGAATAGAACCAGTGAAGAGCAGAGGTGCCATAGGCACAATCAGAGAATACTGTATAAACATCAGAGGTCCGCGGTTGTTCAACGTCCTCCCAGCGAGCATAAGAAATATTGCCGGAACAACCGTGGACATCTTCAAGATGAAACTAGATTTATTCTTCCAAGGAGTGCCGGACCAACCGGGCTGTGGTGGGTATGTGGGCCTGCGGGCCGCTCCAAGCAACAGCCTAGTGGACCAAACTCTCACAAGTCAAGCCTGGCCTCGGGCCGGGCTTGGGGAGTAGAAGAACTCCCAGAACCCCATCAACCAGGTATCAACCAGGTACCAGGTGTGGCAGGTGTCATGGCATCATGGGATGAACTCTCAGAACACAACACAGAGCGGCCAGGATTCTGCTGCTCAATACCACGTACTTGAATACATCCAAATTTCAAGTAGTTCGAATCAAATTTTCTTGAAATTTTGACATTTTTCTTCTCTGGGCCTCCAGTTGGACTGTTGTTGGTACTGGCGGCTGACGAGGATTGGTCAGTTGACAGTTACCTCACGTACCCATATTATTATTGTTACTATTATCATTAGTTATATTATCTTTTGTTGTTCTTAAGAAATACAAAATATTCCATTGCTTATTTTCACCCATTATGGGTTTATTGAATTCGAATATGAAACCGTCCTGGATATGATAGTTATTGAAGTCAAACCATTTGATGCCATTAAATATAACAGTTAAAGAAATTACACAGTTACATAAATACACAAATAAAATAACACATTCAGAATATAAGATTTTCTTAAAATAGTAATTTTGTTTTGTTATTAATAAATGATAACAAATGCAAATAATGTCCAGATTCCTTCGCAGACCAGCAGTTAGAGACCTGGTCCGTAGCAGCCATATTATCCTGTTAATGTAGGAGAAACATAAATATATGTGTATGTGTATACATATATGTATGTACGTATTTATGTATGTGTATATGTGTAAGCTGGTCCGAATTGCATTTCCTCTTTGCAAACGCACATACTCATATTAATCCTGAGGTTATCTTGAGATGATTTCTGGGCTTTTTAGTGTCCCCGCGGCCCGGTCCTTGACCAGGCCTCCACCCCCAGGAAGCAGCCCGTGACAGCTGACTAACACCCAGGTACCTATTTACTGCTAGGTAACAGGGGCATAAGGTGAAAGAAACTCTGCCCAATGTTTCTCGCCGGCGCCTGGGATCGAACCCAGGACCACAGGATCACAAGTCCAGCATGCTGTCCGCTCGGCCGACCGGCTCCCCTTAAGTATAAAAGAACACGCGAACTCGAACACTTTTTGGAGGACTGACGTAAATCTATGAATTTATGTTTGTTGGTTAGATTAGCATTTCATAAGACTCCAATCACCTTCTGAGGTTGGTTCATAAGACTCCAATCACCTTCTGAGGTTGGTTCATAAGACTCCAATCACCTTCTGAGGTTGGTTCATAAGACTCCAATCACCTTCTGAGGTTGGTTCATAAGACTCCAATCACCTTCTGAGGTTGGTTCATAAGACTCCAATCACCTTCTGAGGTTGGTTCATAAGACTCCAATCACCTTCTGAGGTTGGTTCATAAGACTCCAATCACCTTCTGAGGTTGGTTCATAAGACTCCAATCACCTTCTGAGGTTGGTTCATAAGACTCCAATCACCTTCTGAGGTTGGTTCATAAGACTCCAATCACCTGAGGTTGGTTCATAAGACTCCAATCACCTTCTGAGGTTGGTTCATAAGACTCCAATCACCTTCTGAGGTTGGTTCATAAGACTCCAATCACCTTCTGAGGTTGGTTCATAAGACTCCAATCACCTTCTAAGGTTGGTTCATAAGACTCCAATCACCTTCTGAGGTTGGTTCATAAGACTCCAATCACCTTCTGAGGTTGGTTCATAAGACTCCAATCACCTTCTGAGGTTGGTTCATAAGACTCCAATCACCTTCTGAGGTTGGTTCATAAGACTCCAATCACCTTCTGAGGTTGGTTCATAAGACTCCAATCACCTTCTGAGGTTGGTTCATAAGACTCCAATCACCTTCTGAGGTTGGTTCATAAGACTCCAATCACCTTCTGAGGTTGCTTCATAAGACTCCAATCACCTTCTGAGGTTGCTTCATAAGACTCCAATCACCTTCTGAGGTTGGTTCATAAGACTCCAATCACCTTCTGAGGTTGGTTCATAAGACTCCAATCACCTTCTGAGGTTGCTTCATAAGACTCCAATCACCTTCTGAGGTTGCTTCATAAGACTCCAATCACCTTCTGAGGTTGGTTCATAAGACTCCAATCACCTTCTGAGGTTGGTTCATAAGACTCCAATCACCTTCTGAGGTTGGTTCATAAGACTCCAATCACCTTCTGAGGTTGCTTCATAAGACTCCAATCACCTTCTGAGGTTGATTGTTCAATAAATCACTGAACAATTTGTATAGCAAATCTCTAACCCTATCAGTGGAGGACAGAAGAAAATGTATATATATGCTGACTTAGGGGAACACATAAGGGAACTCAAATCAGAACCCATTATGCATGAGTGACCACAGTGTACTGACATGCGAGTATCTACCGCAGGGGGCACTATGATGAGATAAGAATATTTATAACAGGAATACCATGGGAAACTTATCTTAGCTGAGAGATCAACTCACGATCTCAGAGATCAACTCACGATCTGAGAGATCAAATCACGATCTGAGAGATCAACTCACGATCTGAGAGATCAACTCACGATCTCAGAGATCAACTCACGATCTCAGAGATCAACTCACGATCTCAGATCAACTCACGATCTCAGAGATCAACTCACGATCTCAGAGATCAAGTCACGATCTGAGAGATCAAATCACGATCTGAGAGATCAACTCACGATCTCAGAGATCAACTCACGATCTCAGAGATCAACTCACGATCTCAGAGATCAACTCACGATCTGAGAGATAAACACACAAATCAGGAACATACACAGGATGTGAGGAACATACACAGGAGCTGAGGAATATACACAGGATGTGAGGAACATACACAGGATGTGAGGAACATACACAGGAGCTGAGGAACATACACAGGAGGTGAGGAACATACACAGGAGCTGAGGAACATACACAGGAGGTGAGGAACATACACAGGAGCTGAGGAACATACACAGGAGCTGAGGAACATACACAGGATGTGAGGAACATACACAGGATGTAAGGAACATACACAGGATGTGAGGAACATACACAGGAGCTGAGGAATATACACAGGATGTAAGGAACATACACAGGATGTGAGGAACATACACAGGATGTAAGGAACATACACAGGATGTGAGGAACATACACAGGATGTAAGGAACATACACAGGATGTGAGGAACATACACAGGATGTGACGAACATACACAGGATGTGTGGAACATACACAGGATGTGAGGAACATACACAGGATGTAAGGAACATACACAGGATGTAAGGAACATACACAGGATGTAAGGAACATACACAGGATGTGAGGAACATACACAGGATGTAAGGAACATACACAGGATGTAAGGAACATACACAGGATGTAAGGAACATACACAGGATGTAAGGAACATACACAGGATGTGAGGAACATACACAGGATGTAAGGAACATACACAGGATGTAAGGAACATACACAGGATGTAAGGAACATACACAGGATGTAAGGAACATACACAGGATGTGAGGAACATACACAGGATGTGAGGAACATACACAGGATGTGAGGAACATACACAGGATGTAAGGAACATACACAGGATGTGAGGAACATACACAGGATGTAAGGAACATACACAGGATGTAAGGAATATACACAGGATGTAAGGAACATACACAGGATGTGAGGAACATACACAGGATGTGAGGAACATACACAGGATGTGAGGAACATACACAGGATGTAAGGAACATACACAGGATGTGAGGAACATACACAGGATGTGAGGAACATACACAGGATGTGAGGAACATACACAGGAGCTGAGGAACATACACAGGAGCTGAGGAACATACACAGGAGCTGAGGAACATACACAGGAGCTGAGGAACATACACAGGAGCTGAGGAACATACACAGGAGCTGAGGAACATACACAGGAGCTGAGGAACATACACAGGAGCTGAGGAACATACACAGGAGCTGAGGAACATACACAGGAGCTGAGGAACATACACAGGAGCTGAGGAACATACACAGGATGTGAGGAACATACACAGGATGTGAGGAACATACACAGGATGTGAGGAACATACACAGGATGTGAGGAACATACACAGGATGTGAGGAACATACACAGGAGCTGAGGAACATACACAGGAGCTGAGGAACATACACAGGATGTGAGGAACATACACAGGATGTGAGGAACATACACAGGATGTAAGGAACATACACAGGATGTGAGGAACATACACAGGATGTAAGGAACATACACAGGATGTGAGGAATATACACAGGAGCTGAGGAACATACACAGGATGTGAGGAACATACACAGGAGCTGAGGAACATACACAGGATGTGAGGAACATACACAGGAGCTGAGGAACATACACAGGATGTGAGGAACATACACAGGAGCTGAGGAACATACACAGGATGTGAGGAACATACACAGGATGTGAGGAACATACACAGGATGTAAGGAACATACACAGGATGTAAGGAACATACACAGGAGCTGAGGAACATACACAGGATGTGAGGAACATACACAGGATGTGAGGAACATACACAGGAGCTGAGGAACATACACAGGAGCTGAGGAACATACACAGGAGCTGAGGAACATACACATGAGCTGAGGAACATACACAGGAGCTGAGGAACATACACAGGAGCTGAGGAACATACACAGGATGTGAGGAACATACACAGGAGCTGAGGAACATACACAGGAGCTGAGGAACATACACAGGATGTGAGGAACATACACAGGATGTAAGGAACATACACAGGATGTAAGGAACATACACAGGAGCTGAGGAACATACACAGGAGCTGAGGAACATACACAGGATGTGAGGAACATACACAGGATGTGAGGAACATACACAGGATGTAAGGAATATACACAGGAGCTGAGAAACATACACAGGATGTGAGGAACATACACAGGATGTGAGGAACATACACAGGATGTGAGGAACATACACAGGATGTAAGGAACATACACAGGAGCTGAGGAACATACACAGGATGTGAGGAACATACACAGGATGTGAGGAACATACACAGGATGTAAGGAACATACACAGGAGCTGAGGAACATACACAGGATGTGAGGAACATACACAGGAGCTGAGGAACATACACAGGAGCTGAGGAACATACACAGGAGCTGAGGAACATACACAGGAGCTGAGGAACATACACAGGATGTGAGGAATATACACAGGAGCTGAGGAATTTACACAGGATGTGAGGAACATACACAGGAGCTGAGGAACATACACAGGAGCTGAGGAACATACACAGGAGCTGAGGAACATACACAGGAGCTGAGGAACATACACAGGAGCTGAGGAACATACACAGGATGTGAGGAATATACACAGGAGCTGAGGAACATACACAGGAGCTGAGGAATATACACAGGATGTGAGGAACATACACAGGATGTGAGGAACATACACAGGAGCTGAGGAACATACACAGGAGCTGAGGAACATACACAGGAGCTGATGAACATACACAGGATGTGAGGAACATACACAGGAGCTGAGGAACATACACAGGAGCTGAGGAACATACACAGGAGCTGAGGAACATACACAGGAGCTGAGAAACATACACAGGAGCTGAGGAACATACACAGGATGTGAGGAATATACACAGGAGCTGAGGAACATACACAGGAGCTGAGGAATATACACAGGAGCTGAGGAACATACACAGGAGCTGAGGAACATACACAGGAGCTGTGGAACATACACAGGAGCTGAGGAACATACACAGGCTGTGAGGAACATACACAGGAGCTGAGGAACATACACAGGAGCTGAGGAACATACACAGGAGCTGAGGAACATACACAGGATGTGAGGAATATACACAGGAGCTGAGGAACATACACAGGAGCTGAGGAACATACACAGGATGTGAGGAACATACACAGGATGTAAGGAACATACACAGGAGCTGAGGAACATACACAGGATGTGAGGAACATACACAGGAGCTGAGGAACATACACAGGAGGTGAGGAACATACACAGGATGTAAGGAACATACACAGGATGTGAGGAACATACACAGGAGCTGAGGAACATACACAGGATGTGAGGAACATACACAGGATGTGAGGAACATACACAGGATGTGAGGAACATACACAGGAGCTGAGGAACATACACAGGTTGTGAGGAACATACACAGGATGTGAGGAACATACACAGGAGCTGAGGAACATACACAGGAGCTGAGGAACATACACAGGATGTGAGGAACATACACAGGAGCTGAGGAACATACACAGGATGTGAGGAACATACACAGGATGTAAGGAACATACACAGGATGTGTGGAACATTCACAGGATGTAAGGAACATACACAGGATGTGAGGAAAATACACAGGATGTGAGGAACATACACAGGATGTGAGGAACATACACAGGATGTAAGGAACATACACAGGATGTGAGGAAAATACACAGGATGTAAGGAACATACACAGGATGTGAGGAACATACACAGGATGTAAGGAACATACACAGGATGTGAGGAACATACACAGGATGTAAGGAACATACACAGGATGTGAGGAATATACACAGGATGTAAGGAACATACACAGGATGTAAGGAACATACACAGGAGCTGAGGAACATACACAGGAGCTGAGGAATATACACAGGAGCTGAGGAACATACACAGGAGCTGAGGAACATACACAGGAGCTGAGGAACATACACAGGAGCTGAGGAATATACACAGGAGCTGAGGAACATACACAGGATGTGAGGAACATACACAGGAGCTGAGGAACATACACAGGAGCTGAGGAACATACACAGGAGCTGAGGAACATACACAGGATGTGAGGAACATACACAGGAGCTGAAGAACATACACAGGATGTGAGGAACATACACAGGATGTAAGGAACATACACAGGATGTGAGGAATATACACAGGATGTAAGGAACATACACAGGATGTGAGGAACATACACAGGATGTAAGGAACATACACAGGAGCTGAGGAACATACACAGGAGCTGAGGAACATACACAGGAGCTGAGGAACATACACAGGAGCTGAGGAACATACACAGGATGTGAGGAACATTCACAGGATGTAAGGAACATACACAGGATGTAAGGAACATACACAGGATGTAAGGAACATACACAGGATGTAAGGAACATTCACAGGAGCTGAGGAACATACACAGGAGCTGAGGAATATACACAGGAGCTGAGAAATATACACAGGAGCTGAGGAACATACACAGGAGCTGAGAAATATACACAGGAGCTGAGGAACATACACAGGAGCTGAGAAATATACACAGGAGCTGAGGAACATACACAGGAGCTGAAGAACATACACAGGAGCTGATGAACATACACAGGAGCTGATGAACATACACAGGAGCTGATGAACATACACAGGATGTGAGGAACATACACAGGATGTGAGGAACATACACAGGATGTGAGGAACATACACAGGATGTGAGGAACATACACAGGATGTGAGGAACATACACAGGAGCTGATGAACATACACAGGATGTGAGGAACATACACAGGTTGTGAGGAACATACACAGGAGCTGAGGAACATACACAGGAGCTGAGAGAGAAACACATACAACGCTCGCTCATACAAAAAGGATCTCAATATACATGTGTAATAGGATTAATTTCCTCTTTGTAAATGGGATTTGAAGGCCATTCAATGCTCTATTTCTCAA